CACACACACACACACACACACACACACACACACACACAGGATATAGCCATAATATGTAGATTCATAACCCTGATGTATATACACTGCTGCACTACTGCACTTGAGATTAGACAGGGGCAGCCAGAGACATCTTGCGACAGAATCTACTCAGCCTGTAAGTGACCTCTGCTAAAAATGCTGCTCTGGTGCTCTTATTCCCCTTCATTTGCTGTGCCACATCTAAAAAAACAAAATGAAAGCTCTCGGTCCCTGTGGCCTTGAGGTCACACAGAGTGCATCCTGTCACACAAGCACTACTCCTGCATTACTCAGGATTAGGATTCAGATGTGGTGGCAAGCTTAGCTTCACTACTACAATCCTTGGTTCCCATACCTGAACTGAACATAGGTTTAAAGAAGAGGTTTCAGGCATTTTAAAATTCAAACTGGAAGACCCAACACATACTAAAGAGCTAATCTGAGGCTCAAATCTTTGAAACGTACACACCTTAGTGCATTTAAGTCTATCTAAAGCTACATTGTATTTTTGCTTTGAATAGAGTAGGGATGAGTTATAACCTCTGCCAGGTTTTCACTGCTGTCTGTATATCCAATTGGGAGATTTATGGTGTTTGACCTGGTGACCACTGTCAACATTTTTGAGTTGGAAGAGGGATATAGGTAAAATCTTCTAATAGAGACCTTTGTGCTGGTGATAACCGTCTAAGAGCAGATTTCTTTACTTTAGAGAGATCTCCCTTCATTTCCTATTGAGTCTTGAGAAATAAAATAAAAGAATGTCTCCTCAACAGACAGCAAGAAAAAAAAAGGCAGGGGTTTTGACTACTTCCTATCATATCCAACAGGTTTTGTCTTTAGATACACTAACAGGATTATTGACAAAAGGGTGAAGATTTTGGAGAAGGCAGGAGAAGTGACAAATCTAGGCCGACAGCTGATTTGGAAAAATTCTCCAATTCAGCTCACTTTCCAGTTCAGCTATGTTGTCCCAGATTGTTGCCTTCTCCTGCCTTCTCCAGACTCTTCACCCTGTTGTGAATAACCCTGTAAATGTAAACTATCTGGTTTATTATCAGCAGTGTAATATACTGTATGTCCTCTTTTACAGAGTACAACGCTGTGTCTTTGGGTGATCTCTATTTTACTGGATGCTACAGAAGTTGTTTTCAGTGCACGCTGTTATGTGACAGTACTAAGGCTGATGGATGTTCAGCTGTGCCGCAAGAAAAAAATGAAAGTAAGTGCACATTATGCAACTCATGGGTTAAATCCAAGGATTTGGTGAATCCATTACCAATGGAAAGGATAGCGTTTCAAGACATATGGGTATATAGCATTCTAAGATGATGGAACTGTATACGTGTATATAGCATATAAAGTATACAGTACCTAAAATCTGACAGATTTATTTATATACGATGTGCCAACAATCTGCCACTGTAGATGCAGATGTGCCATCTGCAAGGGTGTTTCTCACAGCTAGTCATTCCCTCATCATGATGTGCCGATGACTGCTGACAAACAACCACTGATGACTGCCTACCTTATCTATGCACAATAGAAGTTACAGATGCTACTCTTCTTTTCATTGAATTTTACGCAAACCATAGCTGTACCTTTTCACCACAGCTATTATGTTCTTTCTCACCTACTGAGGGACAAGGAAGTCTTAACCTTTTGGTTATACTGCTGCCTACAGGACACTGGCAAACAAAAATTGTAGCCCATCCCAAGATAAGTGCTCCCGCTACCAGCATGCCTCAGTTATTTGCTAGTGTCCTAGGAGGATAGATATCTTTTCTACAGCTCTGCTGTGTTAAGACTAACTTATTGCTAGCACTTTTTTTCTTCTGCAGTTTTCTCTTCAATTAAGATTCTTCTCTACTTCGCTGTTGGAGCTTCTGTTCTTTGACTGCAGCTTTCCAGAACAGGCATTCTTGGTCTGGCTTTTGCAATATTACATTCGAACCCCAATGGACTGGACGTGCAGAGATCATCTGGAATTGACCTTAAGGCACTGGGCTCCACATAGGGTGCTTTCCAGACCCCATTCTGGTGAATTCTAGCTGCGGAACGCTTTCCAGGTCCAGAACAGTTGGCATTGCCTCAGACTCAGTGAGTAGGGCGATTTGAATGAGCACTGGGGGCTCCCTCAATTATTTAGGTTGCTCGGCACCTTTAATTCCTGTTCGCACCATTTTTGCAGAAGAAAAGGTTAATGCTGTGCTACCGTCATCTGCATGTACTCCACACTCTCTTTCCCACCCTACCGCATGGAGGAAACATCACACTGTTGCTGTTCCTGCCGAAAAAGACCATGTGGAATTTTGATCTTTGAGCCATTCCTAATGCCGGCCTGTAGTGACTTTGGTGACCTCCGGCTATCCGATCCTTATGTGCTACCAGCTGTCCAGCTTATACATTAACTTACTGTCACTGTCGTAACATGTCTGATTCTAAACATGGGGGCAGTCTAGCTGTTCCAAGTGTCTCCAGCTCACATTTTATTTATGGTGCTGGGGTGGCTTGCATCATGATTTCTGAAGGTGCTGACATCTACAGCCTGGAATCCTGTTATCTTCTGAAATTAGAGTTTGTGCTGTCTTTGGAGTCCTCCTTGAGTCTGTCGGGTGTAGCTGGTCACTCTTGCCTTTCTGAGGTTTTTACCAAGGTCCTACAACTCAGATCACCTATTATTTGCGGATTCTGACACACAGAAGAATGCTCCTGTGCTCTCTCCTGCAGATTTTATGTCTGAGTGATTTGTCCACAGCCTTGGTGTCTTCTAAACCATTAGCTGATGAGTCTGATTCTGAATTACTCCAGTCCTTGGTTGATGAGCTTGCCCCTGAGGAGTCAGTCAACTGCTATTACTCCTAAATGAAAGGAGACCATTTGTGTTCTCATTGATGCACTGCACGCCACTGCTGGCTGTTGCTTCTACCAGTGTTGGGTCATTTAAAACTCCAAAAGGCTGCAAAGATGTTCTCTTTGCACCCGCTTTTCCAACTATTTCTCTATAAAGATTGGAAACATCCTGAAAAGCTGTTTGCTGCTTTTGTTAGCCTTACATCCAATTTTGTGCAGAAGTGGTCTTCCTCTACTGTGGATCCCATAGTGTTCCGCCTTAACAGGGTGCTTACCATTCTGATAGAGAACAACTGTCTTTAAGGACCCAACTGATAAGCGGTTTAAAGCCCTTTCTAGAGCTCTGTTCTTGCTGGAGGACCCTGTAGTTCATCCGATTCTTGCTATGAACCTATTTTGGCAAGCCATGATTGACTAGTCAAAATCCCTTAAAACATATCTAACCGCTCCGAAGGTGAATTCCTCACTTGAAGCATGGAGCAGATGTCTGTACTGTTAAATTTCAGCTCTGATGCTTTGCTACAAGCCTCCCATCATTTTTCTTGCATGGGTCGTATGTCAGTTCATATGCGAAGATCAAATGGGCTAAAATACTGGATCCGGAACCTATTGTGCAAAATACATTTCATCCACATGGCATCGAGGGACAGTGCAGATAACTTGCACTAATCCATTGGTATTAAGCCAGTTAATAAAAGAGACTCTGAAACTTAGACACAATGGCTTTTAAAGCTCGATTCTTTCATGATGTGGTTTTAAGCCATCTGGTCCAGGTGCTTTGTTCACCTTAATTTTGTGTTTCTGGACAATATTACATTTTAGCCACTGTGGTTCATTTGAGGCTGTGGCACTACCATCCCCATTATGCACTTGAGTTCCACCATGTTCCTTTGTATACATGGAGCTAAAAAAGTTATTTAAATAGATTTCCCTTTTTTGTCCCCAGGCACCAATTCTAAGTTATATTGGAGCTTACATGCTCAGACCTGATCTTTTTTCTATTAATATATTGAAAACATTTGTGGGCTTTGTCTTACTATCTTTTGCAACCCGCGTTCGTTTTAAATTTTGGGGGGATTTTGAGTTCCTTTTTATTTATATACTTTGTAACTTTCAAATGATGAAAGTGGAACTTTATTTTTATATTTTTTTTAAATGCCCTGTTCTTATTCTTTATGGCTTTTTTTTTAACATTGGATGTGTTGAGTCATTTGGATTTTACTTTTAGCCTTTAACCACTTGAAGACCAGGTGTTTAGACCCCCTTCCTGGCCAGGCCATTTTTCAGTATTCAGCGCTGCAGTACTTTGACTGACATTTATTCCGTCATGCAGCGCTGTACTGAAATGAATTTTATACCATTTTTTTGGGACAGATAGAGCTTTCTTTTGGTGGTATTTAATCACCACTGGGATTTTTATTTTTTACTATATTAGGGAAACAATACCGAAAATTTAGGAAAAAAAACAGTTTTCCTTATATTATGTTAATGAAACAGTGCAAATAAATTATCTTTCTTCATACATTTAGGCCAAAATGTATTATGCTACATTTCTTTGGTAAAAAAAATCAAAATAAGTGTAAATTAATTAGAATGTGTTACAGTTATACAGTCTACAAAACTACAAAACAATGGAATAAATATTTGAAATGTAACAACCCCGCTGCCCTGACTGCCTATCACATTTCTTGAGGCCCTAAAATACCACAACAGTAGAAACACCCACAAAATGACCCCATTTTGGAAAGTAGACACCCTAAGGTATTTGATAAGATGCATTGTGGGTGTTTTAAAGATGTCAATTTTTTGCACAAGTTTTTAGAAAATTAAGATTTATTTTTTTTGGATTTTTTTTAAACACAAATTTGTCAGTTAGTAAGCTATTTCCTATACAAAGCACAAGCTTAGCTATATTTATATCCTAAAACACATTCTGCTACTCCTTCCGAATATGGAGATACCACACATGTGAGACTTTTTTTACAGCCTAGCCACATAGAGGGGCCAAACATCCAAGGAGCACCATGAGGCTTTCAAGGGACATAAATCAATCATCTGATTCACTGGCTGCCTGTTACATTTTTTGAGGCCCTGTAGTGCCAGGACAAAGGAAACACCCACAAAATGACCCCATTTTGGAAAGTAGACACCCCAAGGTATTTAATAAGTGGCATGATGAGTGTTTTGAAGATTTCATTTTTTTGCCACATGTTTTTTAAAAATTAAGAAAGAAAATGTAAATGTATTTTTTGTACACAAAGTTGTCAGTTAATAAGATATTTCTTATACACAGTATGGGCATAGTCAGAATTACACCCCAAAACACATTCTGCTACTCCTCCCGAGTATGGAGATACCAGCGCGCGCGGGGGGCGCGCCTGAGCGGGGGGCGGGGCAGGACGTACTAGCACGCCCGCTTACATCCAAGAAGGTCCCGGCAGGCCGTGTAAGTACAACGGCTGGCCGGGAGGCAGTTAAACTTGTTGCCCAAAATATATTTTACAGTGTGTTTTTTTGGGAACAAGTGATTTAAAACATTCCCACTTCTGTTCTGTGTCCTTTTGATAACAATATTCCCTTCCAGTCTAAGTCTTGGAGAGCATTCTTTGCATTTGAAAATTTGCTGTCCTAAAATTAACAGGGTTATTTTATACAAAAAGGTGAAGAGTTTAGAGTGAACGATCTAGGACAAAATTGCTGATATGGAAAACTTCTCCAATTCAGCTCACTTTCCAGTTCTGCTATGTTGTCCTAGATTGTTCCCTTCTCCTGCCTTCTCCAAACTCTTCACCCTTTTGTGAATAACCCAGTTAGTGTTTTTATCCTTACGGTGTGCACCATTGTTTACAATGTAAGTAAATGAAAATATTATGGTCAGTGCTACCGAGATTTTGTTTGAGATTAACAGATCCAACAGCGCATCATTTCTAGTTGGTGCTTCTATAAACTATACCATATAATTGTCTTGCAGTAAGTTTATAAACTTTTTAATGTTCCAGCAGTGCCATTACACCAGTTCATAACATCAAATACTTTGGCAGTCCTGACACATAATCTAAGGTTAGGGTTCTTTTCACTTTCTGTGAAAGAGAGGGGAAATCTCCACAGTGATATCATTGATGGCATTAGAGACCTAAGAGAATTTTCAGTCCCTGTTTACTTTAGTCAAAACTCGGTACTGGGTACCTAGAATCCTAAATTGTGAAGGGAACCATTGAAACTACAATGTCACAAACATTTGAAGTGGCTTGACATTTTATTTACATATATTTGGTACATGGGCATTTTTATATGTGGCAAAAAAGGAACTGCCTTAAATTCAGTAGTGTTTGGCCTCCACTAAATGTATGCCTTAATGTTGGACAAATCACTAACCTCCTTGTAATTTCCAATTATTCTTGTGACATTTTTCCTATAGATAAGAATCACAATTCCTGTGGAAGAAGAGGAAGAAGGGCTGAATGGTAGAGGCAGCTACAATGAGTGTGTTTAATACTCAGGTACCAGCTGGAAAAAGCAGTTCTGATATCAAGGGGTCCAAACAATGCTTTGCTATGAACTCGATGACCTATTGAAAGAGAACTGAAATGTACAGCAAAACTCAGACTCATATATCGTAATAATATTGTTGCACAACAGCTCAAAGCATGGTGATATATTTGTCTTGACACTATCAGATTTTAGCATGTGGCTCCTGGCACCAACAAGAACAAATAAAAACTCTGCAGCTCCCCTAAAGTGAAAACAATAGCACCTAACAGTTCACCCCCAAGGCTTAAATCTTAAACTGTTCCTTAACAACTAAATCATACAGTGCAAAGCAAGGGCTTAAAGTATATTTAAAGGCAAAACTTTATTTTCCATTTTGGAAGCTTTATAACCATTGTCAGATTTCCTTTTTCCTATCTCTGTCTCAATTGGAAGATTTACTTTCACATGTTTTGTAGACTGAACAGGAAGTGACAGGATATCTTTCAAATTTGAGGGAGATCCCCTCTTAGTTGTCATGGGAACAATTGTCCCCAATGGAACATTTCCCTGGTGTGGTGGCAACTCAGGATTTACCCTTACTTTTGTATCCAGTGACATTGGTGATCAGGACAATTTGATAGGGTAAATCTACCTTACAGGGACACAGGCGGCAATAAAAACCTGTGGGAGAAAACAAAAGAGAAGGGCGCCCACCCTGGTGTAGATTCTTTTTAATATTGTATATTGAGGTTTTGACTTTAGTTATACTTATACCACCCAACCACTGCTGCTCACCTTTTCTTGAATCCCCTACCAGCTTATTTGCCCAGTGGAGTAAAAAGAAAAAGCCCTTTTCACAGGTCTGGTGATTGGCTGTTCAGGCAATAAGTACTGCATAATTGTCCATTCCCCTAATAATTATTTCCTAAATTGAGGCCTTCACACTTAACCTTCCCCCTGAATCCCTATTCTAGTACATCTGCACCTTCTAGGACTATCCACCTCCTATGTTTGTACTGTAAGGGCCACATGTAACATTTAATGTATGTAAAGCTACAGAAAAGAGTCAGGAAATGGCAATACTATAATAGATGGTCAAAAACTGCATGCATTCTACAGGAGATCCAAAACTAAATACCTGCTCCAGGTGTGTTTGGGGAAAGGGGAATTGCTGCAGAAGACTGTCAGAGATTCAGGACACCTTACTAGATACTGCTAGAGATCACTGCCATTACATCTGTTTACAAAGCAGCACCCACTACAGCCCCCTTAAAAAAATTCCTCTCATCAAGATTCATTATAAAAAGGTCAGGGAGAAAATACACAAAATGAATGAAGAATGGACAGCACAGAAAAAAGTGTGAAATAAATAAATCATATTTAACTAGTAGAAGCCTGTATATAAAATATTTTCCTTCACTGTCTCTGACTAAGCACCTAGACATGGAAAACGATAACTACTAGCTGCTGGGGCCCAAGGGCCACAGGCTGGGCACCAGGGTCCATTTCAAAATGATGCAGTGCCAAGATGCCAGCACCAGAAGATACTGTTTCACCATCATCATGATGATTGGATGTGCCTATTCTATAGTTACAAGCACTGTGCAGTCAAGACTACATAAAGGGGCTATAGTAACCATCAGATGAGATACGTGCATAATAACTGACACAATACAGCATTCAGACATGGATACAAGACTTTATTTCTTATAGAAAAATCAGTGTTCCCCCTGTTCTGGGGACTTTACAGTGATAAAAAAAATTACCAGAAACATAATTGCTGCACTAAGCCAGCCTCACTGACAGAGCAAGTTTTGTGTATTGCAGACATACAAGAACATTTGACCTCAGCACACCCCATTTATGTCTTGTCACAACCTCAGGGCCAGTTCACACTTGTCTGTCTTCCTGCAGTAAAAAGCATGCTTACTGCATGAAATAGCAATTTAAGTAGAAATCCCATTGAGTACTAAAGCCTTGATTCACAAGGATAAGAACCCTTATTTTAAAGATGTGACTACAATTTTCAAATCTCGTTGAACTCAGCAGGAAATAACTGTCACTTTTTTGAAAATATGGGTCCTTATCCTAGTACATTCGCTTTGTGAATTGAGTCTATGTGGTTAATTCACATCTATGAGCTTCTACTTAGGACATGTTTTAAAATACGTCATGTAGCATTTTTGTGCATTAATTAAAGAAGGGAAAAATCAAAAACGTACCCTTGCACTGGGGCTACCTCTGCACAAGGGTTAAGTGCTCATTTACTTACCTGTTGGCTCCCTCCGGGCTGCTAGACCGCTCCCGGCAGCATCTTCTCCCCATGCTCCTGTGGTTTATGGACCACTGACATCATCATATGTTATGTAGGTCCATTGACCTGTATTAGATGCGAGGGCGCCAAACAGAGCCGCAGCTAGCTCCTACTGCTCCCGAGGCAAGAACAAAAAATGGTGCCCCCCCAACAGACATGTGGGGTATGTGACGTCATGCGCCCCGAATCCAGGATGGCGGCCAAATCTAAAATAGCATAAAAATGTGTTTGATTTGACGGAACTAATTACATTTTTTTTTCGTTTTCGTTCATTTAGTCCGAAACACATTATTAGTCTTAGCACAGGTCTATGTGTGTGTGGGGGGTGTTTTTTTAAAAAATATTTATTTTACTGTTGGGGGGCTTCCGGGAAATATTAGGGGTCTAAACAGACCCCCGACATTTCCCTTTTGAAATAGAAAAAGAGATTGAGGACACAGAGTCCTCTGCCCATACAGGCGGTGAGAGCAGCAGGGATCAGAGGAGAAGCTGGAGCCTGTGCTGCCCCTCTTCTCCCTGCTGAGCCGCGGCTGTGTTGGCCTCCTGGTGCCCCTGTTGCCAATGTCGCCCTGTGCTCACCATGGCAACAGGGGCAAGGGGGCGCAGCCAGACTGGCCCTGGCTGCACCCCGTCTTAGCTGCGTCTGAGGCAAGTGCCTCACTCGCCCCATGGTAGCTGCAGCCCTGGCGCCAAAGGACATTCCACAGCCAGACATGAGGAAGGGAGGGTGAGCCCAACAACCCTGGGACCAAGGATCAGTATAACTGCTTTATTTGGGGCCCCTAGTCCAAAAAAGCATGCAATCCTTGCAGTGCGAGGTTAGCCCCACTGCAAGGGTACTTTTTTGATTTTCCTGGAGATCTTTAAAGAGACACTGTCACTTTGGTTACTTAGGGCATAGTAACAGTGTCTTCCCAACCCACTGATACTTACCTCTGTAGTAATCCTCCGCTGCTCGTTTCTCTGTTGCAGCCAACACTAAAATACCTGGTGTCAGAAGTGGTGGATGATGTCACCCTCTCCGTCATGTGACAGTATTCAGACCTGGATTAGCCACTAGACCCGAGCACTATCACATGGGATGTCATATGCTCTCCTGTACCAAAAAAAGCACAGAGAGAGCATTCATGGGAATGAAAAGTAAATGCACAAAAACACCATGCATTTTTGTGTGTTTTATTTTTCTAGCACATCTGCACTATAAAAAATTGCTATACCCAATGTGTGTCCTTTAATTTGCATAATGCATGAACTAAAACCACATGAATGCATGTATAAAACATGCAGAAACATGCATCAAGTAAAAAATGCACATTCCTACATGTATGTAAGTGTGAAAGGGCCCTTACTAAAGAGGTCAGCTGTGCATAGAGCAGATTCCCACTGGAAAAACAAGCACTTGACAAAGCAAATCCAAGCCAACAAGCTGGTAAACTGTATGTGGGTCCTTATTACTGAGAGCAGAATACGACCAACATAATACTACCCCGTATATTATATTGCCCTCCATAGCTCTGTGTATATTCACGTTATAGCTGACATCGGTGTTCACCCTTCTTTCCTGTGGTTATACAAAGGCTCAAAAAACAATCATTCATTATTCATGTGGCTCAAGAAAGAAAACACCAGGTAATATACAACTTATTATGAAGAAAAAAAAAAATGTAACCAAAGTCATCCATGCATGACTGCTACTTTTCAGCATTCTCTTTGGAATATAATCCCAGGTAATATTCAATGTTAAAAGTATAAAATAAGGAAAATATCCACAGGCTCCAAGACTGTATTGTATAACATGTACATAACGTCAGGGTTTAAAGGCTGTCTGCTCAAAGGGTGTATCTCAGGGGTAGGCAACCTTGGCACTCCATCGGCTGTGGAACTACAAGTCCCATGAGGCATTGCAAGACACTAACACCACAAGTATGACTTAGAGAGTCAGAGTCATAGCAGGGCTTTTAGTTTCACCACAGCTGGAGTGACACAGTTGCCTACCCCTGGTGTATCTAGATAGCTTGGATTAACGGCTGCAGTGCTATTTACCAAAATGTTATGTGGTTTCTGTGTCTTAATTCCAATCAGAAATCAGCATCCTAATAGCTGGTTTCCTTATGGTTGTTATGAGTAAGGGCTCATTCACATGGGTGTTTAAAACGCTGCATACAGCTACACACAGTGCTTATTTCTGTGCACATCTAAACACAGCACATGCAAATACATGACCACATATGCACAGCTGTGTCTGGGGCCATGTTTTTAGGTTGCATACAGACAGGTACAAAAAAAATGGACCAAGCCGTGACCGGGGCTGCAAAAAGTGCATTTTTTACGTGCATGCGCATGTAAACACATGCATGAAGTTTCTGGTGCTTAGGGATTGCATACAGTGCTAAAAAAAAAAAATACGCAAAAAAACGCATACGGGCCAAAATGCGCGCATATACGTGTCTACAAAGGTGTGTATTTTATGCATGAAATCCTGCAGTTGAGTTATTCTATTCCCGTGTGAATGAGCCCTTATTCCTCTTGTCACTATTTTTTTATTTATTCTAATATAGGTAAATGGAAATGCAGCCAAGAAACAATAAGGGGAATTTACTAAGACTTGAACATACAGAATCTTTAGCAGTTGTGCATGGGAAGCAATCAGCTTCTAGCTTTTATTTTCAAAGCTTAATGTAGTATTAAATGCTCACACTTGTTTTCAATAATGAATCCAGATCAAACAAATATACATTGCCCAGCAAAGTATTTCTTTACATTTTTGCCCAAACACTCACAGTCATCATGTTTGTAAACAGCTGGCTCAAACTCTCTTAGCTCAACTTCCCTGAACTTCCTGTTCAGTACATGATCACAAAGGACATGTCTCCAGCAGCTGTCTATCTATTAGCTTTTGTGAAGGGAGGAGGAGGGGAGAGCAGGGAGCTGGGAGAAGAAGAGTGACTTGCCTTGCTGTGTTTGTGAAGACACACATAGCTTACTAGCACACATAAGGGTGACTCAATAGGACTCTGCAAGGGACAGGACAAACTGATTCTGCAGGAAACTAAAACATAAAAACATCAAGGCGCAGCATCCCTTTCAAGAGATATCAACATTTGAAATAGCTTAAAAACCAGACTCTGTTTGCTCCAGTTTTAGTAAATTCCCCACAACACACAGCCATGACCCTGACCAGTATGGAAACCAAACAGCACAGATGTAGAACATTTGTTATTAAAGACATTTACTGATAAACTGTCAGAATGCATTACAACAATGTAAGCTGCTTTATTATGAAATGCTAAAGCAGGGCTGAACAAATCCCAGAAGCCAGGTAGCCAGTGCTCCTTAAAAATGACAGCTGGCGTCTTTTGAGGTTTATTCTAGGTGCTGTCAATGCAGCTGGCTCCTACAAAACAATCCTGCTGGCTCCTGAATTCCATATTGATTTGCCCACCCTTGTGCTAAATTAATACTGGTGTTCACAAAGTGGTTTCATGCTCCCTGCTCTTTGTCAGGCTTCTCTATGAATGTACAATATCTATCAATGTACAATAGTAGTAGTCCAGCCTTTTGCACTGATTGCAGTCACAGGCTGTGTACCATAACACACGAATGCAGTATCTTAGGACGCTTCATTAATGTGAGCCTCACTGTACAGCTCCATTACAGAACTCTCTGGCTGACATCATAAAATCAGACCCCCAAACATACATAAAAAGTCACGCAATTGTGCAAAGCCCCACCCCTTTTCACTAGTATGTTGTGGATGCTGCACCAACACCTGCAGGGGACATTACAAACAGTTCAAACATGAGCCAACTATATCATACCTAATCATCAATGCCTGAAAAGTACATTAATGATCATGTAAGACAGAACAGTCAAATGGCAAGTCTAATGAATCACCACCTAAAAAAAGTGTTTTACAGGCATGGGAGCTTTCCCATGTTCCTAAGTGTCTAACATTATACAGCGACATGGAAGCACTCATTTAAACCATTAGAGAATCCACATACACCTGATCCTATGGTATCTCTTTATGTACCATTACTTTGTTTTGAGTGACAGGCTGTTAGTATAATAAAAAGACATCAACGCTATTAAAAAAGACTCTTTCCTATAGAAGCAACTTTTAGTGCAGCTAGGTATCTTCAAATGTTTTAGTCATTAGAATCTATTGCTGTAAAGATGCACACAAAATATACATGCCAATAATATAACTGGCAGTGTATGCGTGGATGTTAAAGTATGTCACTTTATACTCAAAGTATAAAAGAGCCGATTCCGTTATACCAAAAATAAAAGTAGGGTCTATCTATATGCAGATCCTCTACCCAGAACAGAAGGACACTAGGTCAAACGGGTTCCCTCTAATGAGATGAAGGAGCAAGGGTACAAAGGGAAAGTGCATATCTAAACAATATAATAATCTAAAACCATCCCTCTCTTCCCCTAATAAATAAATGAAATATAGCGTGCATAGTTACTCCCTGCTTTAGTGCAACCAGTTCCACCTTTGCTCACTGTAGTAAAGACCACCTTGACTCACTGCCATACAGTATATATGAAAGCAAAGCAGCTGGTGGCTCCTTATGCTATTAAGTAGCATCTCTCACTATTCCAATGTGCATCTGGTCCCTTTAGACACTTTATTATGCCCACCCCACCCTTGTGCCCCAAATCTCCATGCAACCCATGGTTACTCCATACAATAAACATAATACAAGTTTTATAGTAAGAAATAAATAGGGGGTAGGAAGTGGGCTGATTGATTGGCAGTGCTTTCAAGTCCATCTAATGCCCAAAAGGATTCTGGGACAGGCCGCTGTGCAGAGGCGAGGCACAGCCACTAGATGAATCGGATGGTTCCCAGGCTGCAGCCAGCTTCAGAACTGCGATGCCGTGCTGGGGTCACATTGCAGTAACCGCACAATTGATGGGTCACTTTTGGCACCTTTAATGAACTCCTCCAGCGATAATTTACCTAGAATGACAAGCAGCACAGAGAAAAAAGGTGAGCAGAAGTGGGATTTTCCCCAAACCTGGGATCAGACCACGGATAAATGTACAATATGGCAATCACACATACAAAACATAGCTCATTAAGTCATGGAGAAAAGAATAAATGACTCAGACGTGTTCCCATCTTACCATCATTATTTGTGTCCATCTGTCGGAAGATTTTCTCTGTGCGTTTCTCTGGCGTGGACTCGTCCTCTGGCATCTTCATTACAGAGGAAACCATTTTATAAATTGCCTGTAAAAATGCATGGAAACGCAGTCAATAATCAGACATCACATGCCCTCTGCATCAGAAAGAATGCGCTCATTAACTGAAAGCCCTTTCTTTACTGAATTCACATAATGACTATACTTTGTCACCCATGATGTTTGTTTGAATACTGAACTCCAGGCACAAAACACAAATATGAAAACTGCTTTACCTGCCAAAGGATTTGTAGTTCTGTTCATCAAGTTCTGTAATTTACACAGCACAGGCACTCTCTCTATTACAGTCATAGACTGTGTCCTTTTTCTACCCCCAGCCTGCTGAATGTAGAGTGAAGAAGCAGCACAACAGGGATAGGCAACCTCAGCACCCCTGGTGTGGGACAGACTACAAATTCCATTATGTGTCTGGAAGTCATGTCTGTGGCTGTCAAAGTCTTGCAATGCCTCATGGGACTTGTAGTTCCACAACAGCTGGAGTGCTGAGGTTGCCTACCCCTGCAGTAGGAGATATACGAGGTCATCTCACTGCTTACCCTGATCTCTCCTCTTACCAGCATGTTCCTTCTCAGCACATTTGCATGTAACACACATGATTGGCTCCCAATCATGCCCCTCCCTCTCCCAGTCTGAAAGCTGTTGCATAGCGGATTGCAAGAGGCTGATACCATGTCTAATCCAGTTACTTACACTAGCTGCCTATTAAAAAAATACTTTTAATGATTTATTAAATACCCAGCCACAATAATTTTGCATTTATATATGCATAGAGCTCAGGTTTCATTTCCAGCCTCCACCACACTGGCATCTATGTATATTGGCAACCGCAGAACAGTGTGTAGGAACCTGTCAGTGACCTACAATAAGCATGCAGCTAGTGAAATCAGAATCCTTGTCCTGGATCAGTGACTCACTAAGTAGTGGCGCAATTAGGAGAATGATAACCCTGAAATTGCAAGTCATTGACCACTTCGATATTTCTATCTATGGTGATGCATAATCCCTAGAACATAATTTAGATTCATCAAAGAGTCTTAAAAAAAAAAAAAAGACGACCAAAGATAACTGAATCTGTGAAGTTGGTTAAAAAATAAAAGAAAATTTATATTTGTTGCCAGGGGTAACACTGACAGTTCTTCTTTAAACGCTAATAAATGAGGTTTTAAAAAGGTTTGCAGGCCTTGTCTACACGTATTACTTCAACAATGTGTTCATCTGACCTTAACACCTAGGGGGAGACTTATAAAACTGTCACATAGTGAGCAGCCCATTACGGCCACTAGGTAAAGCCGAGCAGCATGGGAATGTCCTATGCTCCTTGGCTCCATCTAGTGGCCATATTGGACTGCCAATCTTGGTCACATAGCTGTTGGCTACATGAACGGTTTAAAAGTCCCCCCCATGATCTTAAATGACAACAGCTTTCCAGTATGCAAGAATTTCTGGAGCAGAAAAGAAAATAATTTTTTTTTGTGTGTTTAGGAATATGTATATATATTTCTTCACTGCCTTTATCAAATTCACCTAAAAGATTATCCTAACATACATTGCCATCTTCTTTGAATTAGCTAAATATTCACACATTATCAGCCTTGCAGTTATTGGAGTCTTTGGATATGAAAAATGTACATATGTCACTTTATGTTTGATCAGTGTGCTTGAAACGGGTCCTTGGCTTAGCAGGGTAGTAGCTGCTGAGTTTCAGCTCTATTCATTAGTAACATTGCCACACCAAGCCATTGGGTTTCTCAGAGCCACAAGATATGTCCTATTATTGAGGGACACTAACTTTACAGGATTTACCGTGAATTACAAGACAAATTATGTTTGTTTTTCCTTATTTGACAATTTCTGGCCTCAAAGATTCAGAAAGTGCAAGATTTTCACCTACGTGAACCTCAGTGGCAAATCTGTTTACTGCACCTATTCTGCCTAACGAAAAAGAACATATTGCTTTAAACAGCTGTACCACTATCATACTCTATAGAAACAGAGGTCTGTATTCTACCCAAAAGACCTGGAATATATGGAACACAGTTAGAACATGGTGGCTATTTATAAGGGCTGGGACAGCTTCACATAAAGCTGTATATACACTGGTAGAAGTTTGGCTAATTTACAGGAATTGGATGAAATTCTAACAGTGGGTGGCCCAACCAACATAAGTCAATTAATCAAAAGAGTCGGGCCAAAAATTGTCAAATGAATAGTGACTGCATCCATCAGCTGTTGACAGCTGTGGGCACCATGTGTCAGAATACAATAGCCTGGTGGGTGGGGGGGATTCCTCCATCCATGCTGTTTAGTGTGGATGGAGGAGTCTGCTTTCTAACAGCCTGCAGGATGAAAGAAAGAAAAGTATATAGTGTATAGTCAGTTTAAAGCATATTCAAACCCAAAAGCAAAAACTGATTTATATATTGCAGCTTACCACAAAAGAGACAGCGCCTTCTCCTCGTGCATTCAAGTTCATTATACATAAATTAAATTCAACCCGGGGTAAGAAAACTACTCACATGTTCAATGTGGAGTCATGTACTGTAAATGTAAAGCAGGAAACATCCAAAATGCCCCAAGCTGCAATACATATCATCATCATCCAGATACAGGACCACCAAGGAATGCGGCTCCACATTGAACATGTGACTAGTTTTCTTACCCTGGATTGAATTTCATCTATTTATAATAAACGGTAATGCACGAGGACAAGGCGCTGTCTCTTTTTGTGTTTTTTCATGTACTTTGAGGACATCTACCAGTGGCCTAGAGCAGTGGTTCTCAACTCGTGGGTCGTGACCCAAAAGTGGGTCGCGACACCCTCTACTAGAGGACAGCAGCCCTCCTGTTTGTTGATCATCGTCAAAGATCGCTAAAGGGAATCTACCAATGGTTTTTCTGAGCGCTGGAAGATGTAGATTGCAGCTTACCAATCCTTAGATGTGGTGGCTGCATTCGTTTTCTTGTTTTGTGCTTTTTTCCTTTATTTTCACCTGGTTATCTGGCCAGTAAGTCTATTATTTTTCCACTTCTTTTAACAAGCCAAGCTGTCCAGCAAAGGTGGTAGATAGAAGGTTGGGACAACAGTTTAAGAGTGACAGGGGTGCTTACAATGGTCAGCTTTCATTCATTTATTAAAAATCTTTATCCAAAAAGGGGAAAAAACTGCTCTAACTGCTTAGAAGTTTTAGCTGGAGTTCAGCTTAAATTTTTTAGTCAAGTCCATCTAAATCTACTAATCCATCTAACACTAACTTCCCCACAGGGTGACAATGCTGCTGTCTAATAGTGGCTCCATTGCACCTTTATAGAGCGCAGCCACCCTAAGACAGGAAGTGTGTTTCTGGCCAGATCACCAGGTGAAAATAACAGAAAAAAGAAAACGAATGCAGCTGGTAAGTTGCATAATATAAAATTTTTGGTTTTGGTTTAGATACACTTTAAGGGGCACATATGCTAAGGGCAATGTAAAAAAATAGACTTCTCTTTGTTTACAAGTGGATGGAGACACGTGATGCCTTCATTAGCCAGAGGATTACAAGAAGGGACTGGAAACAAAGTACTGAGAAGGAAACTTCAGTTCTGATCACATGTAATTGAAGACTTTTAGAACGACAACTGCTGTTTGACTGCAAAAAACACACACACCAAATGTCTCTAAATATAAAAATATTGCATGGATGGGTGGGAAAGTCAAATTTCACATGCTGTGATAAATGGGAGAAGTTAACACAGACAATGTCTGCTACTGCATAAGCCTTAGTCCGAAAGATTACCCTTCAGCTTACTGGCCAGAGGTGATGATAGCGAGGATTCATTGCCCAAAGAGCAGGCTGCAGTTGGAGAGCTTACATAGGAATCTACAAAGCTGAATTGGGATATACAGTTGTTTCTTGCCTGGCTATGCAGTACGGCAGGGGGGGGTTCTGTATTAAAAGGCTGGCTAAGCAGAATTACATTGGCAGATAACACGGGTTACATGTATGTTTCTAGCTGTGTCGTTTGCCTGGAATTCTGCTTTAAGCTTGTTGTGGATTACACAAACCAGATTCATTTCTGTATTCTATATGCAATTTTACATCCAACATTTCGGCATGTTGCATATTATCAGCTGTTAAACATGTATGTGTAGACCACATTTGTTTTTTTGTGGATAGAGTAGCGAACAGTTAAAACCTCTGCTAGCTTTTTTTTTCTTTCTGCGGTCTATGTACCATTATGGAAATGACCGTTCACTTCCTGTCCTAAAGATGCAACAGGAAGTTAGTGGGAATCTCATAAAGCAAGGCAAATTCCCTCTTAGACTGCTGTCCCCTAAACAAGGGTCACCATTGAAAGACTTCCCCTTACTTCTTGTACTGGGGACAGCAAACAAATTTGGATTACCTTCTCCTTCAATGGAAGTGAATTATCCAATGGGAATAAAAATTTGACACAGGGTCTGACCCAGGCGTACGCAACCTCAGCACTCCAGCTGTGGTGAAACTGCCAAGGTTGCCTACCTCTAGTCTAACCCTCCCCCTCAGGCCTTAAAATAGCAAAACCTTTTTTTTAGTTTTGGAGTCAGGAAAAAGTCATAACACCCTGTGCTATAATTTGTACTTCTACAACCAGTCAATGATGGCTATCAAAGCTTACTGCATCTGGGCCGGGGAGACAAAGTGACCACCAGTATTTAAAAAAAAGAAAAAAACTTGTTCTAGTAGAGTATCTTTTTGTATACTTACTATTTGAATTTTATTTATAGAAACTGTTTTTATACTATGTAAAATAGCTGAAAAGAACAATGTACTTGGATGTTGTATGTCTAAATCAATAAAGTACCACACGGTTTGAAAATCCATACTTGTAGAAATGTTTCTAAATCCCCAATTACCTGTACGATCTCCAGCATCTCATCCCGGCTGATGTAGCCGTTCCCGTCTAGATCGTACATGCTGAACGCCCACTTTAGTTTCTGCTCTAACTTCCCCCTGGAGGTGACGCTCAAAGCAATGATAAACTCCCGGAAATCTATGGTCCCATCACCGTTGGTATCGAATGTACGAAACACGTGCTCGGCAAACTTGGAGGCATCTCCATATGGGAAAAAATTGGCGTAGATCTTCTTGAACTCTTCGACATTTAGAATGCCAGATGGACAGTCCTTTAGAAAACCTTTATACCACTCCTGTAACTCATGATCGGAGAACTCTGTATTTTCCCGCAGGTCTTGTAGCATCTCTGGGCGGAGCTTGCTGTTTTGCTTCCCCATCTCCTGCACAGGGCCAAAAACAGAAATGGTTAAGGAGATTCCAAAATGGTACAACAACGAATAAAATGTGAACCAGGTTTCCTATGGATATGGTCTAATTGTTGCTACATACAAAACATTACCTGTAGTTTCCCCATACACCCTGCTCAACTCTAGGAATCTAGACACACATTTAGCCAAGCCCTGATGGTCACCTAATGGTTACAATCTGACCATACAAGCTTTGGATTGACCGAAACTATGTATTATGAGGGCCGACCCTTGCACTACATACTTGTTGGTAGATCTAAAGGAGGTTGTACAATCAGATTGTGTGTGACGGGCTTTAGGAACATGGCCATGAGGCTGACTAATAAGAAGGAAGGTGTCTACATTGCGAATACATACCTGTCAACATACAGTGTGGGTAGGAGCATGAGGGTAGACACTATCAGCTGATTATAACATTGTGGGCCCTTTTTTCCCTCCTGTTCATATAAATCTGCCCAGTGGCTCACAATATACTTTTTGTTTTCCAAAATCCAGTTTACCTTTAAATGACCACTTTCACAATGTTCTTGAATGAAGAGAAACTTCATAAACATGCACAGTTTTCTATAAAATTGTCTATACAATACTACAGGGCTGGACAAATCCCAGGAACCAGGTCGCCAATGCTCCTTAAAAATGACAGCTGGCGCCTAACTTTTGTAGGTTGCTTATAGTTGTTAATGGAGCTACCACCTAAAAAAAATTCTGCTGGCTCCTCGTTTAGACTCTTGGCTCCTGAATTCCGAAATAATTTGATCACCCCTGCTATAGTATAACTACCAAAACTAGAATATTATCGTTGCATTAAAGAGAATGCATAGTGGATTTGTATGTACAGTATTTTATTGCTTTGTTATGGTCAGAGCTAAATTAATAATATTTTAAAAGTGTATTTCCTGCTTTTTTTGTGTAAATATGAAATATTTCATACAAACATTATGAAGTCTTGAATCCACCCAGCAGGTGGCGCTCTCTGTCTCTTTCATTGTTCTATCTCCCTAGCACAGGTTGGGGGGGGAAAAAAAAGCCTGCTGTGCCTAGATCAAGATGAAATTTCCACAAAGGGCTGGATGAGTCAGAAATCACTCATCCCTTAATAGACAGCTCATTCCAAGGTTTCAATGACAGACAGCTGTGGACAGAAGGGAAACACTGCTGGAATGAATTGCAGTCAAGAGAAATGCAAGATAATAGAGGACAGCCTACATGGTGTCACTGGACTGAGCTACTCTGCCAGCAGATTATAGGCAATAGTCTTACCTCTCTTTCAGAACCCATAAGCAAAATGCATTATGATGTTGTGTAGAAAAGCTAGTGAAATATGTTCTGTTTCTGCCCAGGCGTCTTCATGCTCCCTATTTGCGTTTGGTATTATACTGGTACAAGTTAAAGCTAAAGACAAGCTAGACTTATTAATGTGGCTTACCACAAACCATTTTATATTTGCTTTAGGTTAAATATATTCAGCTGTAATGTGATTCTGAAACATTTCAATATAGGGAAGCAAATATATCGTTCCATGTGAGGCAAAGTTTTATCTTCATTATCTATTATTATACTTTTTTCTATCACCATAGACTATTATATTGTGTGTTGTGATGAGAGGACTCCAGGCTTATCAGCAGCTGCCAAACCAGTTGAGTACAATACAAGACAATGTTTAAGCTGCAGGGATTGAAGTCCACACACATTAATTCTCTCATTAAGCCCTGATGAACGGGGTGTGTGTTTTGGACCCCCAAAATGCATTGGCTATTCTACTTCAATGTCCCCCTGACCCTAATGGAATAAATAAAGTTGTATCTGGACTAATGTAATTGGTGTGCAGCTTCAATTCCATCATCTACTGTATTAGTTTGAAGTCAATCACCGTTGAGTGGTTTTTACTGTAGTGATGTGCTGACTACACCTGACTAACCCCACAGACCACTGTAGATAGGGTTGCCACCTTTCCAGGATTCACCAGGACAGTCTGGCTTTTGAGTCTTGTGTCTGGGTTTCCAGCCAGCTGACACCCAGACACAAGACACTAAGTGCCGATGCCACAATTTGACAGATGTGGCTGCTGAGGTCTCCAGCAAGCAACGGACCTCAGGCAGTCACATGTGCCTGAAGCTGCATCTTCTTGTGAGTCGCGGGCGCCTTTAAACAGGCGCCGGCCGATCAGCACATCTTCTCCTTTGTACCACACAGCAAAGCCAACATAGCCCACCTGAGACCGCACACAGCCACCTGAGAGCCCCCACAGCCCACATGAGAGTCCCCATAAGCCCAACTGAGAGCCTGCATAGCCCACCTGTGAGCACGCATAGCCCACCTGTGAGCCCACATAGCAGCCCACCTGAGAGCCCACACATCCTCTTAAAAGCCTGCACAGCCCACTATGAGAGCCCGTACAGCCCATCTGAGAGTCCGCAGAGTCCACCCGAGAGCGCGCACAGCCCTGGGGAGAGCCCGCACAGGCCACCTGAGACCCTGGATACATCAGGGCGCCACCCCAGAACAACACAGAGTATGTAGCTTCATATTATTTTGTATTGCTGTATAATGTATTGCTGATATTTGTACTCCTCAATAGCCGGTCTCTTTACTCCCTCCCCTGGCTGCCTCTCCTCCTTCTCTCTTCTATATTCTCTCAAAAATAATCGCCACGTGCGGGGCTAGGGTTTCCTCCTGAAGAAAAGGTGGCAACCGTAACTGTAGAGTAGGTATAAAAAGACAGAGGATGGTCATGCGACCTCTTTTTTTTTTTCTTTCCATTTTTAAAAGGTAGAAAACTGCATATGAACATTGAATTAAGGGAAGGAAGCTGCAGAACATGCAGGGTGGAAGTATACAAATATATACATGGCTGCAGACTGGAGTTCTGTGTTAATTCAACTATACTGCTCAAGTTTGGTGAAAAAAAGCTGTAAACTTTAACTATAGATATGTGACAGCCACCTTTTTGAAGGTGCAAGCTCCAGAGCTGTCATCCTAATCCTTCCTTCACTACTAATGGGTTAATGAGCCACTAACCTGATAAAAGCATGTGCATATCAGGCGTGCCAACGCTTCCTTAGCTGCTTTTATCAGGTTGGTGACTCATTTAGTAATAAAACAAAAAGAATAACAGCCCCAGAGCTTCTACTTTCAAAAACAACTTAGCAATGGCAGATCTTATTCTTCTACATAGACAGGTTCTATTTAAGCCCAAATCACATTAAAAGGAAGACATAAGCCCCACCACTCTTTGTGGCACTGTCCTAAGCAACACCCGATACACGTGTTGCCATGTAAAATAAATCTATAACCAGGCTACCATTATTTAAGTTTTTACATATTCTTAACAAGCAGCAAATTAACTTTAAAACAAGCCCTCACTGATCTATCTAGCTGCAGACATTGTGTAGCAATTCATTCTCCAGCTCAAAGCAGAAGCACTGAGGTTTTCCACCCATCTCTCAGCAGCTTGGATCACCTTGCTCGACCCTCCCACAGCACCTGATTAATAATTACATTAGAGATTACAAGAAATGGAAGGTCACTGCTGGGAAGTGGAGCAGGAGTAGCTGAGCTGTTCATTTAAATGACTTTGGTGCTTCTGCTGTGAACTTTGAGGATTTGTTTCTTCACAGTATCTGCAGCAACAAATATTAGTAGGTTTTAAAGCCCATTTACTGCTTGTGAAGAATATTTTGATTTTTGTACTGTAAAATCCTTTTCTTGGATTTGAGGGACACAGGACGACTGTAACCTAAACTGGGTTAAACTGCCAGGTATGGAAAGATTGGACACTGGCAAACAAAAAAACTGTAGGCCAGCCCATAATAACCCCTCTTATTACAAGCATGTCTCAGTTTTGTTGCAAAAGCAGTAACAACAGTATGATCAGAAAGACAGAGGGGTGTGTCCTGTGTCCCTCAATGGACTCCAAGAAAAGGATTTTACATTGCATACAAAAATCCTACTGTCATCCGCCTGCAGCTCAAAGAGCAGCTTAAGGACCTTACGCCCAAAGCTGGCATCAAATGATGCCTGAACATCCACCTGGTAGAACGTTTGAACAGAAGACCAGATGGCAAACTTACACATCTGTGAAACAGAAGCCAGAGTAGGTGTACTAGCAGGAAAGGGTGGAACCTGATCCTTGAGACCATAAGCTTGGATAGTGGTGTTCCTGAGCCACTAAGAAATGTAGAACGAGAAGCTGGTGCACCTTTATGGGGACCATCCGAAATGAAAAGAGTCAGTCTTTCTAAAGGAAGCAGTGTCTTAGATATAGACTCTCACAGCCCTAACTACATCCAGACAATGAAGGGAGATCTCCTTCAGATGAAATGGAACGAAACAAAGTGACAGAAGAACAATGTACTGGCGGAGGTGAAAAGGTCAAACCTACCTTAGGTAGGAAGGAAGTTATGGGCCTCACAAAAACCTTGTGCTGGTGTAAGACCAGTAAGGGTTCTTTACAGGATAAGGCCACCAGTTTGGAAACTTGCCTTGCAGAGGTATTGGCTACAAGAATGGGAGGCACCCTAAAGAAAAGCCTTAATCAAATCTGAGAGTCCGCAGAGTCCACCCGAGAGCGCGCACAGCCCTGGGGAGAGCCCGCACAGGCCACCTGAGACCCTGGATACATCAGGGCGCCACCCCAGAACAACACAGAGTATGTAGCTTCATATTATTTTGTATTGCTGTATAATGTATTGCTGATATTTGTACTCCTCAATAGCCGGTCTCTTTACTCCCTCCCCTGGCTGCCTCTCCTCCTTCTCTCTTCTATATTCTCTCAAAAATAATCGCCACGTGCGGGGCTAGGGTTTCCTCCTGAAGAAAAGGTGGCAACCGTAACTGTAGAGTAGGTATAAAAAGACAGAGGATGGTCATGCGACCTCTTTTTTTTTTTCTTTCCATTTTTAAAAGGTAGAAAACTGCATATGAACATTGAATTAAGGGAAGGAAGCTGCAGAACATGCAGGGTGGAAGTATAC